AATTTGTTTAAACCTTATTGTGATTGTCATACTTGTGTTGACATATTTATTTCTGAGCATAATGCTTTCGAAATTTCTAATTAACTTTTTGAATGAATTGAGGATCAAAATGAAACTGAGAGGAGATTTTTGTGATATAGCTCTGAAATAAATATCATAAATTCTGGGATAGTATAGAGATATATCTATCTATTTAGAAGTAACACCAATTGCCAACCTATTTAGACGAGACAAAATTGAAGAACTCGGAGTAGGAAAGTCACAAACAATCCCATTCATTATCAAACCACTTGCTCTTGAACTGAAGCCAGTTCCATCCCATCTCAAGTGTGCATTTCTAGGGGAAGCGTCCACTCTACCGGTAATTTTCTCATCATCCCTAAGTGATGAAGAAGAAGAATAAGAAAAGTTGTTGCGCATCATGAGAGAACACAAGATTGTCCTAGGGTGGTCTATTGCTGACATCAAAGGAATCAGCCTACCAATATGCATGCATAATATCTTAATGGAGGAAAACTGTAAACCAACAGTGGAGCATCAAAGACGCCTGAATCCAAACATGAAGAAAGCCGTAAAAGCTGAATTACTCAAGCTGCTCGTTGCTGGAATCATCTACCTAATTTCTGACAGTTCTTGGGTAAGCCCTGTACAAGTAGTACCGAAGAAAGGAGGTATGACCATTATCAAGAATGAAAATAATGAGATCATCCCCACAAGGACGGTCACAGGATGGCGAGTCTGCATCGACTACAAATAGCTACATTAAGCGACCCGAAAGGATCACTTTCCTTTGCCATTCATCGATCAGAAGCATGATAGACTTGCTGGCCACCCTTATTACTGCTTCCTTGACGGTTACTCTAGTTACAATCAAATTCCAATTGCACTTGAAGATCAAGAGAAGACCACCTTTACTTGTCCTTATGGTACGTTTGCTTTCCAGAGGATGCCATTTGGTATGTGTAATGCCCCTGCCACATTTCAAAGGTGCATGATGTCTATTTCTCAGACACGGTGAAAAAATTCATTGAAGTCTTCATGGATGATTTCTTTGTCTTTGGAACGTTGTTCGATGAATGTTTATCAAGCCTATCCCTGGTGTTGAAAAGATGTGAAGAGAGAAACCTAGTCATGAATTGGGAAAAAATGCCATTTCATGGTACAAGAAGAAATTGTGCTAGGACACTGGATTTCTGCCAAGGGAATCGAGGTTGACCGAGCCAAGATCGAGATCATTGAGAAGCTGCCGCCACTAACTCTTGTAAAAAGTGTTAGAAGTTTCCTCGGACATGATGCAGGTTTTCACCACTGATTCATCAAAGACTTATCACAAGTAACAAAGCCTTCAACTTGTTGATATGGTATGATTATGGTTATGGTATGTTGAGATTAAGACTTATGATTATGATTATGGTATGTTAAGATTATGATTTATGATATCTTATAATTATGATCATGGTACGTTAAGATTATGATTCTTATACGTTTGAATATGAGTTACGAAAGTCAAAGTAATAGTCAACTGATAACATGAATATTTAATACGATGAGTTTATGAATATTTGAGTATAATACACTCCTCTATGAAACATGTTAGGAGTTAGTAGGAAGCATGTTATATTATGATTACTTATCGGTTGGTAGAAATTATGAATTTTTGACTATGTATATTGAGAAAAATTACGAGTACTTGAATTAAGTATTCAAATTAATATCATTTATGTCTACATTTATGTTCATGTCTCTTTTCTGCTAAGGAATTATTGTGTTGCATTGCATCCATATTTAGAGTAGCTAGTCTACTCGCTTATTGAGATTTCTAGCTCACTAGGATTTCTTGTGTTGTAGGAAAAAGGAAAGAAAAATGTTAAGATAGAAGCTCAGTCATCGGGGATGCGAATTGAAATGAATGTGCATATGGGGATAAGACTTGTAGTGGTCAAACTTTGATATTAATTTTTGAGAGTTGGCCTTATGGCTTCGGTATGATTTCCGCAAAATTATGTTTTTAATTAAAGAACTCCTTTCAAGCACATTTCTCTTTTCAAATTTTAGATCCATGTTTTAATTAAGAATTTGTAAGCTTTTAAAAGTTTAAATATTCTGCATTATTATGACTATTACATATATATATATATATATGTTTATATGTAAAAAAAAGAGATCCACAAATATGGTATGATATGTATGTATGTGCATTATGTTTTTCCATCACCATTCATCGCCGGCCTAGCATAGTAGGTGGCTAGCGACGGGTTGTGACAAAAATGCCCCATCATTTTTGCACAAACACACCTAAAAATGACTTGTTGATTGGTATGTTTAGAGGTGTAAGTTTAGGTTGTCCGGCCCAGCCGTCCCATGCCTAACAACCCGAAGGAAAATTTCAGGTCAGCCAGGCCCTAAGCTTAAAAAATTTAGGGCCAGTCTGGAATTTTATAAGGTATTTTAAAAAAAAATTACAAATATTATGTTTGGCCAGGGTCGGGCCGGCCCTAAAGGAGAGAGGGTCGGCCCAGCCCGACCCCAATAGTGGCTAGCCTCTGGCCGGACGTTTAGTCCGACCTTAAATTGTAGCTCTAGGTATGTTCAACCCTAAATTATTTAAGTTTTAATGTTTAGAGATTCCATTAATTGATATATGTTATTGCTTGAACTAACTTGTCAAAGACCAAAATTTTAGGGTTCTAAATATTAAACTAAAAAAATTAAGAGTCCAACTTGTGGATTCTAATATGTTTGTTTCACAACTCAAGTTAAGAATTTGAGTTGTGTATTTGAGAGAAAAACACTAGTAAAAAAGTTAAATTTAAAATTTTATGAGAGAAAATACTGTAATAATAGAACTTGAGTGGTGACTTAAGTTGTGAAAAAAATAATGTGGTACTTTACCCTACATTTACGGACAAAACTTGTTAAAAGTTTTGACTTTGCCTCATAGACTTCAAAACATGCCTATATTCTCCCCAAAAGAAAATGAAAATTTAACAAAAATGTTCAGCCTGCCAACTCTAACAAAGAATTGGACTTCTTTTTTTTTTTTTTTTTGCCACGGCAATAGGAGAGAGAGAGACGTGATTCTTTAGTATTTTTTATTGGCAAACAAGATTCTTCAATGATGCCATCTAGGAGTTCAGATCTACGTACAACAGTAAAAAAGAAGAAAAAAACTATCCCTTAAAAAGAATGGACATTGTTCAGTTCGCTAACACACTGATAGACTAAGTTTTTTATATGTATAATTTATAAAAAATCATAAAAATTAAAAAATACGCAAATCGTTAAAAAATCTAGCCTATCGATACATCAAGTATTAAAAAATCTCCCTACAAAGAATCCATATTTTATTGCTAGTTGTCTGTAGTTTATCTCAGATCAAAAGATAAGAAAAATGGTATTCAACCCGACAGGAATAAATCCCCGGTTTTCACAAATGACGAGCCATGCTAAATATCTTGGTGATTGCTGCTATAGATATTAAACCATACAAGCAAGACAATAAAACTAACGCCATCATTTTAAAGTATTTGATTGAGGTTTTTTTTTTTTTTTTTTTTCCTTGGAGTGCAAGTTTGATCGAGGCTGTTACAGCATTGCAAGTATACAAAATATTCATGGAGAGAATAAAGCCAAAAATGTTTCATACAACCAGTACTTTTTAAGTAAAAAAAAAAAAAAAAAAGGTTATGGCTTCAAAAAGAGAAAAATGGTCAAGAATTGTTGCTTTTGACGAATTCAGGTAGTAACCAAGAGATAAGCAAGGCCGTTGAGGTGTGTAACAATTTCAAATCCTTGAAGCTTCGAACTTCCATATCCTCTAGCAATTAAAGTGATTGGAACCTGTTGATGAATGAATACAAAATTAAAACCAAAAAGGACGGTGATTAAATTGCTATATACGCTAAATTCGCTAAACAATTTTTAAAAAAACGCAGAGCCTCCTAAACAAAAAGCGGGAACTACGCCACTAAGAGCGCGAATGAAAGTAATAAAAGATCTTTGGACACAATGATGGAGTTTCAAGCATATAAGAGTAGAGCCTCCTGTAGGAGGCAATCAGATTCCCTGCCCAATTTTTGGTGTTATAAAATTCTAAATAATGTTTAAGCAACCATACTATATCACGTCATTTAATGGACTCAAACAGAAAAACACGTAAAAGTCGGTTAAAAAGTATTACAACTTTTTAAAAGACACGAGGTTAGACACCATTTGGGACATCAAAATTGGACATGGGATCTAGTCTACAAAATCTGCTCAACTGATGAACAAGAAGAAGGTTGAGGAAGATCGTTATAGAAACGAATGGCATGAACATGTTTCGGTTACGCATATGGTTTCTATTCATAGGAAATAGACACAAACAACATGCTCACATTGATCAACACGCTTGACCAATTAACGTTGATACTATTCTTGTCAGCCAGGACCAGAGTTCTAAAATCCTTATTGACGAAAGGAGAGAGAGCAAATACATCCATTGAATCTCAAAAAACAAAGGTCACAATAAACAGTAAAGAAAAATATTAATAAATAAAGAAATAAGATAGAGTACGCATTGAATGACAATAAACAATAAACAACCAAATGAAACACCTGGACAAAAGCAATAAAAAATTCACAATAAAAACTCACAAATGGCAATGATATCATGAAATATAAACACAGACTATAGTAGTTCAAAAGTGCAACTTTACCTCTTCAATATGGTAGCCTTTTCTTGAAGTCCGAACTATCATCTCCATCTGAAAGACATCAATTTCGAGCACCGATTTTCTATAAAGCCTTCATGAGATGGCCAAAAGTGTTAAGCTGTAAATCATGATGAGACGAAACACTATATTCCTCAATAGTAAGAATCAGAAAGTATAGCGGGAAGATCCAGTCAAATCTTTCCGCTAAGTATACTTCCACCAATTTCAAACTATATCCTGAAGAGGGTAACAACTATCAGGATTTGGGTATAAGAAATTCTGAGCTACAACATAGCATCAGAAGCTGTATTTTTCCTTGCCTAAAGATGAACCCAGACAACTACTGTGGCTGCATAACAAGAAGCAAAAAATAAAATCAATAAAACCCCAAAAATAATTCAAAAGAGGAAGTGCAATGAATAGATTTGGAACAACGAGCACCAACAAATGGGACATACCAACAAGACCCTGAAAAAGCTTACATATATAAATAAGGCCACCTAAATGTTTCTAGAATTCTTGGAACGCTTACATGAACAAGAAAATCCAACAAATTACTTATGTAGATACTCAGCAAAAGTTAAAGATCACGCACCTAGATGAAGGTTCATCACGCACTCACTAGCAAACAAAATATCACCTCCGAGTACAAATCATGTTGCGAGAAGGCAAGACATTTTGTTCTTGCTCCCCATTGTTACGACTTCAAAAATGCCACCCCTTAGCACGCCAATATCTCCTTGCATTATCCTCAAGACGGGCATCCTTAAGCTTCAAAAATAGCTTGTAAGCTATTTCTACTTTATTCAAAGCAAGCAATTTGTTATTTAGCTTGCTGCAAATCAGCCTGCTTGGACAGAATCCTTTTCGCAAACACTCCTCCATCACAAGCACGGCATTTTCAAGCTGCCCTATGTTGCAAAGTCCATTAATAACATACTCATAAACTTCCACATCCGAAGAATAACTGCATTCCTG